GGCCTGGCGTAGTTTGATTATGTTTCAGTGGGGGTTTTTGTATGGGTGTGTTTTTAGAACAGGCCTGTTATTTAATTCGATTTTAGAACAGAAACTATTTATTTATTATCGTGGTTTTTAGTATCGCCTGTTCACCGCCCTGAGTCCCGTAAGGGAGATAGGGCGGTATATAAATTTAATAAATAAATAAATAAATAAAATTAGTTGAAGTAAACCTGAGGGGGGGGGACTGGAGTTTAGTCATAGTTTAACATCAGCCTCCATGTCTTAACCTCAATTTTAGGCATCTCTGTTTCTAACTTGAGACAAGAATTAGTTATCACTGTGGCTACCACAAGTATAGACCTCAGAACTTTGGTCTGTACCACTTCAAGAGCATTGTTCCCATCATATAGACTCACCTGGGCTCCATATAATTCTTGGAATAAAGTTTTAGCTTGAAAAGGTTTTAAGGAGGTGTGTAATAAAATAATTCCTTTTTTTCACCTACTTAGCAAAGAAGAGGAAATCGGATAAGGTAAGCTCATACCTTTTAATATTGATTTAGCTATTAAAGTGTGCGTTTCTAACTCTTCTGCAAACAGCAATTGGCACTGAAAAAAATGAAGACATGTGTCAGAACCCTATATTTCCTATGGGTATACTGGGTCTTCTTATCTTTCGGGTTCTGCCATTCTCCTGGGGGGAGGGGGAGCTATCCGGCCTGTTACAGTGTAATTCCTTTGCTTTGTTCCTTGCTCTATCCTCTTTGAAATCTATTCTTTGGGGTGAGAATGGAATGTGCCTTCGGCCATTTGCCTTATCTCCGGGCGGGAAGCCAGAGCGGTGCCTTATCGGTTTGTTCCCATAACAATTTCACACCTATGGATTGGCCTGTTTGAACCAGCCGGATGGACAGTTGGGGTGGGATCTCTACTGCTTCTTTTAAACTATTGTTTTGCACAGTAAATCCTCAGATCCTGCCTTCTATTCCTGCTGTCAACACCTTCCAATAAAAGTTCCTTTTGAAATGATGCACGTTTTAGGAGTTCTACTTTCTTGGGAGGTTTAATTGAGGCAGGTCCTTACACATGTATTTCTTTTATATGTGAGCAGACCCACCAGTTGCTCTGTTTTCATGATCTTATACTATTTGCAAAACGTGGGTTGCAAACTCTCATGTGCATTTGATTGAGAAGTGAGAAATGCTGCTAGTGGTAAGGGCCTCGAGAAGCTTCAATTTGGATCCTCTAGGAAAGTTTTTCTCATCAGTTTATTCAGTGAATCTACAGCTCTTATCTCTTTGTGTCACATGGCTCCTTTGAGTTATAGGAAGTTATATGCTCCACAGGTAATACTATACAAAGAAGAAACAGCGAAGGAACCAAATATATAAAAAAGAGAGAGGGCCTCTAACAGGCATAGAAATTTTTATAGAGCACACTACATTTTTAGAGTGTGAGTATCAACATCCAGCTTGAGTATTCAAATAAAAATGCAGGATCATTTCATTTCTGAAAAGCTTACTGTTTATTAATATATAGCGTGGTTATGACATGGTAAAACTAACTCTAAAATCCCAAGGCATCAGACCATAGCATATAACAATGACTTTCCCAGCCAAACCCCGAGATGTTCATGTAGCTCATGTAAACAAGTTCTCTTTGTTATGGGAACCGTCCGCTATCTTCTTCACACCTGCTAGAATGTTCTTGAAAGTTTTCCAGACTGCCGACTCTAATCAAGCTTCCGTATTTCGAATGGAATTTTCTTATTAGCTTATCTGCTCTAAAATTTGTAGCTGCCACCCACTGTGCCTCCGCTAAGGGGTATCCTTTCCATTTTACTCAATATTGCAACTTTCCCCTACGATACCTAGAATCTAAAATTTCTTCAATTTCATAATGCCTTTCCCCTTAACTAAAATTGGAAGCGGATGTGATTTTCCAATTGGTCTCATTCTTGAACCATGAATAGGCTTCAATAAGCTACAATGAAATACTGGGTGTATCCATTTAAAATCCCTTGGTAATTGCAATTTCACTGTAACTAGGTTGATGACCCCTATGATAGTAAAAGGACCTATATATTTAGGACCTAGTTTTTTACACAGTATTATTAGGTTCAAATATTTTGTGGACAAATATACTTTATCTCCTACTTTAAACACCTTTTGAGTAGCTCGTTTCTTATCTGCCTGAGTTTTTTTACTTTTTTGCACTTGTTCTAGAGCTTTGGGTACCCCTGGCCATGTGCTTTTTATATTATCCATCCAATTGGTCAATGTTGTGGAAGAGGGGATGTCTTGAGGGATCTCAGGCATAGCGATATATTCAATTCCTGAAGTTACTTTAAAAGGTGTGAAACCGGTACTGCTGTGTACTGCATTATTGTATGCTACTTCAGCAAATGGCAATAGGTCTGCCCAATCATTCTGTTGATAATTTACATAGCATCTTAAATATTGTTCTAGCATTGCATTTGCATGTTCAGCTGCACCATTTGTACACAGATGAAAACTGGAACTGAGTCCTTGTGACGATCCTATTGATCAGATGAATTCTCTCCAAAATTTTGCTGTGAACTGTACCCCTCTGTCTGCAATGATTCTGTTAGGAACTCCATGCAGCCTGTAAATATGCTGCACAAACATCTTGGCTAACTTCTTAGCTGAGGGAAGCTTTGGACAAGCTACAAAGTGTGCTTGTTTTGAAAATAAATCAACTACTGTCCATATTACAGTATTTCCACCACTCTCCGGTAATTCCACTATGAAATCCATTGCTATTTCTTCCCAGGGTCTTTTACGGTCGGCCACTGGTTGTAATAAACCTGGAGTTTTCCCAGGCAACCGCTTCATGGAAGCACAAACTGAGCAACTAGCCATGTATTCTTTTATATCTTTTTTCATTTTTGGCCACCAAAATTGTCTTTTCACAAGATGAAGGGTTTTTACAAACCCAAAATGGCCGGTTGCTTTTGCATCATGTGCTCGGCTTAACACTAAGGTCCTTTGGCTATCTGGGACGTACACTTTGGTCCCTTTTGTCAGAGCATGCACAGTCTTATTGCGCTGAGATAACCCAGGAGTAAACACAGTAAACAGTGGTCTATATTAAATGGTGGTTTATCATACACTATCTACAAATATATACCAGGAACAATATACATACACGTGGTAATACAGCAAACTCCAACACACAGCAGTTACGGCAGGAAACGGACGAGAGAGAGACACTCCAGCAAAAGCCTTCCCTTTTATACTCAGGCTCTTAAAGGGATACAGACCCTGCTTGCTCTTAAAGAGACACAGACCCTGCTGAGTCATTCCTATCATTGCACCATCCACCTTATGTTACATTACATCATTACACAAGCTGTTTAGCTATTAAATCATTGCCTTGACACTCCTCCCATTTAAAGCTAAACAGCTGTTAACCCAAATGCTTTTACATTGATGCCTGCTTGCATTTAAACGCTTAATCAACATTTCGGCTTGAACAATTGAACAATTTTTTTCTGTGTACATTCCTGCCTTATACTGCAGTTCATTATTGTGTCCTTCCATTTATCTTTTTCTACTTTAGGTAATGATAACATTTCTTGATACTTACAGGGTTCATACCTTACATTATACGCTCTAACCCCACTTGCTGTGAATTGATCAGGAGGTACACCTTTATTACTACATTCAGACCTCCTCTGTATCACCTGTTCCTGTGTTTCTGTTACTTCTCTGTTTATCTCAGGTCAGGGGTCGGCAACTTTAAACACTCAAAGAGCTATTTGGACCCGTTTCCCACAGAAAAGAAAACACTGGGAGCCACAAAACCCTTTTGACATCTAAAATGAAGATAACACTGCATATATTGTTTTTTACCTTTATGCTATGTATAAAAAAACTATTAGTGTGTTGCATTTATGAAATCAATGAACTGCTACAAAGAAAACAAATTTTTATTTCTGCATGCAACAAAAACATTTTGAACTCCAAAAAAAAGATGCTGGGTCGAAGGTTACTTTCAAATAAAATACTCAATGTCTATTTGAGTCCTCCTCGTATTTATGAAATAAAAAGCCGGTGCAAACTATAAAAACTACAAATAGAAAAATAGAAAAGAAAAAAATTGCAGGGAAAAAAGAAAAGGACAGGAGAAAGAGGGGGGAAAAACCCTTTCTCCTTCATCCCAACAGGTAAAAACAATTTTAGTAGCTTATCTACCATATTTAAATACAGCATAATTATCCCCATACCTCATCTCTTAATTAAAAA